ATACTGCAATAAACAAGAAATTTTTCTCAAGGTCATATTTTTTAGGATTTCAAGGTCATTGTCATTTTCTTAATCTGAAAATACATATTTTTATCCTCACGATAGGCAAGGTCGAGACGAATCCAAAAAGTTTTTGTTTATTACATTATTTGTCTCCTCTGAACTGAATAATGACTCTTTTCGCCATCCTCCTATCACAAAAAAAAAATAAGCGACATATTTATAAGATGATGCTCAAGTTAGGTGGGACACCTTGTATATTATTAAATGTAAAACTTCTCTCGAAACACTCTGCCGCGAGTAATATATCGCAAGATTTCTCGAATAACACAGGAGACCTGTTCTTTTTAGCTAGAACTTCTTGCGCCGTTCATCTTTTCTCCTTTTTCTCTTCAAAGTGGAGAAGAAAAAGAGAAAAGATGATAGGTGTGCAAGAAGTTTTTAGCTAAACGGGACAGATCTGGAGGAATCGCGATCTCGAATCGTAAGATTCAGCACACCAATTACTGTGTTTATTTTTTTGTGGTTCTCTCTCATTATACAACCAGTTATAACCGACCACATATCAAACCGACTCATTTGTGACACCGTCAAAAGACATTCCCCGGAAAAAGAGAGAGAGAGAGAGAGAGAGAGAAAACAAAAGAAGAACAAACAAGCGGACGCGACACTTTACGTAATAATCCACCGCGCGCTTACGAGACGGGAAGTCGCGTGTCCCTTGTCGCAATAAGAAGAAAAAAAAAACCTGTTGTCGACCGGACACGCGCGCGTGCAACCTGCCTGCGCGCCCGAGAAACCCTGCCGGAGCCATACGTGATACCGCCGTATGGCATACAGTACGAGACGATCCGCAGGGGTGCGCGAGAGGAATAACCGTGGGGAAAACGGGGGAGGGGGATCCAAGGGGGACATATGTCGGGGACACGTAATTCGCCGGCCACGCCTCGGTGATCGTGCGGCACGCACGCATGCAGTTGCGCACGCGGCACGCATACACGCATGCCCGACGACGGGGCGAGTACGCGTGCGGCTTGGATTCGATTACACAAAGAGCCCTTCGCGACTTCGGTGATGGCGACACACACACACACACGCCGAGGTTTCCTCTCGCGCCACCCTCGTCGAGGAGATATAGAAGGAAAAAAAAAACAACACGGGACACGTCCTATACACCGTAGGAAGTCAGAATTGTGGGGTCAGAAATATAAGCAAGATTATAGACCAGAATTGATTTATTATACGTGGCGTTGAACGGTAAACGCGCGTGGTATTGCTTTGATTCTTCTCGCGATTGATTTCTATTAGCTTCAGATAAATTATCTCAGAGAAGCGATCGGGGGGGGGG